ATAACCGAGTGGCTACTGGAGATGGCACGTTGGCCAGTGCTCTGACCATCTCAATGTCTTCCAACTGAGAGTGGCGGTAGTCGCCAGCTCGTTGCTGCGCTCGATACTCATGAGATAACTTCGCGTTTTTCTTGCCTGGTCAGGCATACCCTTCTAAGTCTGGCCGTTCGCACTGCCCAAGCACTGTCGCTCCATTTGCCTGAACCACCGTTCCCGATTCACCATTTGAAAGAGAAATACGAAGGCGTTTGTGGCATGGCATTGGCTTTCTCGACGTAGAAACCGCTATGGACTGTGCCTCTGAGTTGAACTGGTGTGATTCGCATCCACTTTCCATACGAACGACAGCGACATCGCATTTGAACATGGACTATCAGATCACAGAATCTGAAGACTTGACCGAACCCAAGTCAAGTCGATGAACATTTCGCGAACAGCTCATCCTCGATTTCCAACGAACAGTGACGAAACACCTTTACTCCCGACCAGATGAATCCCCTGTCCCGGTCTTAGCCCACACCATTTCGCTCCATACCGATTCCTCCTTCCCCGAGACAGTTGCCGGAATCGGCCCGTGGCCCAATATTTGCGCAGTAGAATACCGTGATGCAATGTTGAGAGTACCGGTGAGGCGTACATGGTTTGCCTTACGAAGACCATCGATCTATGGCGCCATCGATTTCTCGCGATACCAAGCTGAAGCGGCTTAAGGGATGGAAATGATAAGAGCTCTCACGCTCCGATCAATTTTCTAAGTGACCTGGAATCATTGAGCGCCTAACAAATTAAAATCATTTTTTCTGGTTGCGATCTACCTATAGTACATCGTTAATGGAAACCGTGCATCACCCAGCAGATTCCTACCCCCAAAACCCAGACGCCGTGTTTCAGATTGCGAGTGAACCCTCACCAGGGTTGAAGGGCGAACGGTAGGAGCACAACAACTACCTTTTTGATTGAGGTGAGGAGTTCCTCATATGAAGTGAAAGAATGAAAAAGAAAGAAAAGATTATCGAAAGATATCATGTGAAAGAAAAAGGGTATTATTGTACATCAATGGCCATGCAGAAGAATAAGGACGAGGACTAGCGAGTTTGAAAGGAGAACGAACAGCCGTCATTGAAGGGGAGGATCATCCACTGTTCATTTCGTTTCTCTCGTCCCGAGTTCAGTAGTAATCCTCTTTTTCTATTACCATGATCAACTCGGTAAGTTCCTTACGCAATGAGCGGTTACGGTCCCATGCTTCGACGATCTTCGGACGATGACTGAGGAAGACGGCTTTCTTCCATGAAAGCCCGTTGTACTGCGGTGCAATACCCGTAGGCAGGTTTCGGGCAAGATTGCGCAATACTAACGCCGCCTTGTAGGCCACTCCAAACGGCTCGCCCCGCTCATTGACTGGAGTGTCCAGGTAGTACCATTTGCGGACGATGCGCTCTTGGAGAACCGCCCGTTTGGATGTCGGTGGCTCCGCATCTGGCGCACGTTCCTCGGGCAAATGTGCGGAAACGTGCCCGGCGACCATTGCAGTATTGGTACTCGGACCAGACGACCGGAATTTCGTGCAGTTGTCCCAAAGACAGGTATGAACGGGCGACTCCGCCTTCTCCAGGTTGTAGTGTCCTGGCGTTTCAGTAGGCTTGAGATTCATGTGTTCCGTGAAGACATGATGGCGAAGTTCTGCCGGCGACTTGAAAGCGCGCTGACACGTCTTGCTTGGCTTCGAGTTGTCCGCCCACTTGCAGTAAATGTAGGGAAAGCCCTCGAAGGTATAGGCGGTCTCCAAGGGCCGAATGCCTTTGATGATGAATTTTGTGGCTGCACCAGGACCATTGATCACTTGAGCTTGCGCGTTCGTGAAAGTCGTACTGACATTTTTGATGAATTCAGCCGCAGGGAGAACACCGCCACCAGGAAGACGAGGGTCCGCAAATCTGCTCTGATACGCCTGCCACAATGCAATTTGGGTGATCTCGCACTCGAGGTCCTCAACAAAGCAGCACCGGAGCCAACGCGAGCTCCGTTCAGGCTCCGAAAGCTCCATCAGCTCTTTCATGAGCTCAGGCGGTACACGAGGGATATCCGACGGCGGGGGGGCCACCTTTTCTTCTTGCAACACAGTTTCCTTCTTGCTTGGTCGGCCTTCGTGCGTTAACAGTGCGACCATCCGGGGGACGAAGACGGTAGGCAAGTTGAAGACCTCAATCAACGTCTCAACGTTCTCGGATGAAAGTGTATACTGGTACCAGAAGTCCAATGCACCACTGAGAATATCTTTGTCCAGGTCGAGAAGAGTGTGAAAGTAGAGCTGCTGCAAAGTCTCCTTTGGTATCCGTTCAATTGCCCGATTCGCCTCTGGCTCGTCTAATTCAGTGGAGAAATGGGTGAGAGCCCATAGTGCGCGGACCACGTGAGCACGATCTGCCGACTCGAGACAATTGAGAAGTGAGATCCAAAGTGGATCTTCCGGATCGGTCTTCATAAACTTGGTGACCTCTTCTGCAATGTCCAAAGCGTCGTTCTTGATCTCGTTGAGACGAGGCTGATTGGGCATGTTGATCATAATGACGAGGAAGTCTCGGAGCAGGCCCTTCGCGTACCGTGACACATAGTAGGCATTCTCTTTCAGAAGGACCATATTGCGCAGTACCAAGGTCGCCTCTTTAACGTTGCGCAGAAGGTGGTTGAATTCGTACGTCTCGAGGGTGTCTTCCGGCAATGTAACTGGCATTTGTTTGATCTTCTCTAATAGATCTCGTGTGCCATGTAGTGAGTTCAGCACATTGACGCGATCACTGGGTTGCCGAACATCATACTGAAGCTCCCACTTCACTCCGGTTGTGACAAGGGAAATATCCAGGGCCTTTGCCATGAGGTTCTCCGCAAGCAAAGGGAAACCTTCAAACTTGAATTTATCCCATCGTTGATTCGAAATCTGAACAAGGTGATACAATGCAAAGTCCACCTCATCGGGAATTCCTGATTGTAAACCGTAGTGGGCTCTTTTATAAATATGATCGGCTGCACGGCAGGGTCAGTAATAGGCCACGACAAGCAGGCGGTAGTAATTTGACGGCACAGCTCACGTACATTTTGGTACCTCGAGATATTTGAGCGGAAAGTAAGGATCATAAAAATCGGGTTGCTTAGCCACCTTCCCTCGATCGTGCAGGGTCGCAAAAAGGCCAGGTCTGTTCCCGGGCGTTGCTACCTCACGCGTGGACATTGGAACTTGTCTTTGATCTCTCCCTTCCCAATTTTCGGGCATTCCTTGTGGGATATTCGACCCCATTGAGCCAGTGGAATGTGTATGTGCTCCGGTTGGCTGCGGCGACTGGTGTGCATTTGAGTGTGAGCGTCGAACAGGTGCAGTGTCTGGGATGAAGGGTTGGTTGGCTTTTGGAGCTTGCCGCAAGCCTTCTTTAATCCAGTCAGCGAACCTAGGTCGGAAATCATCTTTAAAAGGGATGAGGTACTTGCCTCGTAAGGACGAGCGCGGTGTATTGTTCGACATTGTTAGTAACCTAGTGAATACCCTGATCCCAATGCTTCCTGGGGACGCGCTCTTCGCTACTGGGACGAACTGAACCGCGTTGGCTAGGCTTGACCACGCCGATGTAGCTCCAGAATATGTCCACTATAACGTGCCGAGACCGGTTTCGCCTCGTTGGAAGAGAAGTCCTGTTTGAGACGCGCCGGCGTAGAACTTTGCTGAGGGTGTCGGGTTACTCGTTTAGGCGTGTTTTAGAAAGGAGAGGATGAGATGAGGCAGGTTGAACGAGCGATAGGGATACAGGCTGTTGGCCTTCACAGGCAAGGTGAATTTTTGCGAAGCTTGATTGATTGTCACCCCGCGAAGGGAGATCGGCCGCGACTTAGAGCTTTCGGAAGCCAACCGATGAATGCGACTACAGCTGTGAAAGCAATGAAGCTTCAAGAGGACAAATCTGAAGGAAGGAATGCGATTTTCTTTCTGCAGTAGAGAAATTAAGTCGCGACAAGGGCAGGCCTAAATCAAGCGTCAATGACCTGGTTGTGCTCCTTCAGGCTGTGTAGAGGAAGCTGATCCTGCGATCCTCGTTCCTGGCATCCCAGGCAAAAAGTCCGCCCATCTGCTTTGGCCTCAGGCGCGTGTCCGGAATATCGGTTGCTCCGGCCGGGAATGTTCATGTCATGTTTGTTATGTTTGGATTGGAAGAGTTGTTTATGCCTCAGGCATAAGCCTCCTTCTATACAGCCTTTCGATCTCAACGTCAATATCGAGATAGGAACTTCTACTACAACTGCCAGCAGGTATCCTGCTACTGCTTGGATACCTGCGCTTGATTACATTAGCGTCCTTTGTATTGTAATGTTGACAAGGTCATTATTTTCCCATCGAGACCAAGGATTATGAACGTCAGAGATAGATAGGAGGATTCGAGCACTCATTATAGAATGGAAGAATCAACACTTTTGAGAAGAACTTGGGTATGACTGCCTGAGGCCATCTGGTTGCTAAGCCTCTCATGTTGGCTATGCCATACCACCCATTGTGCATTTGCCATTTGTTTATCATAGGACTTCTGATGACATCCGCCTGCTACTCAGTATAATTAGAACGGATTGCTTATCTTTCTATACCTATGAGTAGAAACGAAGGAACTTCCTCATGTATCATTTATCTCAAAGAGTTCATGAGTCTACTCAGCTGGCTCGGTTGTCTCTCGCAAAGTTCTCTCATACCACAACCAGCATTCATCATAACGGTCCATTGAACTGGAGTCATGTTTTCAGCAATGGAGACATTGTATGTTGTTTTCACAAGGCTTCAGGAGGGATATCCTCAGCTCAGAGCCCAATCTTTCTGAGAGTTTTTCAGGACCAGAATATCGTGGTATTTTCCCACAACCTTGGAGTCCCCTGAATGTTAGCACTAATTAACCCGTTCAATGACTTAACAATTGCAGGAAGAAGTCGATCTTGGGCACTTCATCCGAGAAACCTCTAGTCATCACATGTTGGGACAAAGCGCCCATCCCAGGCCCATCTTCGCGGTGGTCGTCAAGTCGCCTTGTCTCGCGGTGAAATATCCAACAGGCAACGGATATGTAAGTAACACGCACCTCACTGTCGAGCCTTCCTCTCACGCAGTCAAGATCCGCCGATTCCAGCTAAAGTTCTCTTCGGACCGCGAATTCTACACAGCTCTGGCAATCCTAAGCGATATCAGGTGTCCATTCTCGGAGTCGAATGTTGGCTCATCACAGCTCGCTCGAAGACCAACATCCTCACAATGGCATTCACGTTCAGGACCGTCTAGCCTAGGCATTAGAGATCCCTTCCCCTCCAGCGCGAGCGCAGCCCTGTTCCCAGTCCTACCATCCGCTTCTGCACTAGGAAGTGCATCGAGTATCAATGCCGGTAGCGCTGCACCCAGTCCACACGTCAACAAACTCTTGCTGACACAAGTCCTCCGACAGCGTCTTCATTACCTCCATCTTCGTCTGGTACAGCTCAAGCAACGGCTCCAGACCCAAGTGGAACAGGATCAACCAACAGCTACACCGAACTAGAAGCAAAACAACCTCAACGAACCATACAACCACACACCGAAGAAGAGCCTAGGCCCAACGCTGCGAGTGTTCCCCCCAAGCCGTCCACCACAGCAGCCTGCCATGATATCACGATACTGAGCCAACTCCTCCCTCCAAAAAGGGAGTTACCGTTCTCAAAACCGCCAGCGAAGAGATCGCGTACAACCCCAAAGGAACCCTCCACCTCGACCCAGTCTCAAACACTCAGCGCAGGTGATCAAATCCCTACAACCACGGGAAACGATGCAGCAACAGCAGCACCACCCTCGAGTCAGGCCCCGGGGACGAAAAAGCCCACTCCAAAGAGAAAAACAGCAACAACTGGTGTACTGAAACGTTCAATCACTTCAGTCCCACCGCTGACCCTGGCCGAGGAGCCGCCTACTCAACCCATCCAGTCTATAAGTTCCCTCGCGCAGCCTGCCACCATACCCGGTACTCAGCAAGTGCACATATACGGGCAGAACCCCGACTTTGAAAGCAGTAATAATATAGGTCACTGGCGCGAACAACAAGACCCTACCCCAGCAGACCTCTCCTCGTACCTCTCTGCGCCTACACAAGAGCGTACAGCACGCCTGGAGAACTGGATCTGTCAGAATCTCGAGAACGATGGGTTTATTAAACTTTGTCAAGATGTAGAGGGTATATGGAGGCGGATTGCGTTTGGGAGCTGATGCCTGGTTCTCTTCGTTTCGTTTCTCTTCGTAATTGATTCCATCTAGTCCACGTTATATACCTATTCTTGAACGCGGAGGTTACAGATCGAGGAGAAAAGTGTTGAGACTATCCTGTTATGTGACATGTGAACGATCAGGCGTGTATCAGATAAGCATTTGTTATACTTTTACCATAGTGGTGGGCACACGTAGAAAAAGACAACTTTTGTTCTGGGAGAAGTTATCCAACCTAAGTGATAATAAAAGCACAAAGTGTCGTGAGTCAAATGAATTACATCAGTAGCAAACAGAAACAGCGTTGAAAGCTTTTTTCACACAGACAAGGTATAGATCAGGCTAAGAGTACGCAGATACAGTATATGAGATGAGATTAGCAGAAACGGAACCTATCGATCAGTGAGAACACGTGGCATTGTCGTGGATGGCCCCGACCTCAGCGAGTTCGACGGTAAATTAGCCCCGAAAAGACATTTAGATAACCCTCTTTGGTAAGAAGAGTGAAGTCGACGACTACACGGCTTGTCTGGTGCGCAGACGACGACGCGAGATGGGGCGATGTCGTGTTGACGTTATTCTCGGTCGAGGCGAGCGGTGGTGGCGAAGACGAGTTGGCAGCCACGGATCCCTCGGCGCCGACGGCGAGATCCGCCAGATGTTGAAGGGAGCGCTGCTCGTTTGGACCCATGACCGGGGGCGCTGTAGAGCTAGTTTTGTTCACACTGGAATCCTGATGCTGAGGCTCCTGGGCTCGCGAACGCCTCCAGTCTATGAAGATGCGGATCTTCGAGTCCCAGCCAGGTGTGGCGTAGATATTTTCGAACTCGGTAGCTTCGGCAGACACTTTCGCGCGGTGGTCGAGGATCTCTTCAACCTTCCTAAGCGTGTCCCAGCACTCATTCGTGTGTTCCGGTAGAACAGTGGCTTCGAGTAAGGTCATGGAAGCTAATGCTAAGCTGTGGAGATCAAATGGCGTCGCCGGGCGGGACTCCATAGTCGCTTTATGCAGCTCATTGATGGCCTCCACCGCGCAGTAGATAATCTCGTAAGGGCTGTAGACAAAGATATGCCGTTTGATGAGCAGCCGGACAGTCCAGTAGAGTTGGTTTTGCAGGCTTTCGAAGAACCCGTGCGATGGTGCTTCTTCGGCTACATCATAGGGCTTCCGGAGGTCCTCAATCTGTCCCAGACGTTCGAGAGAAGCAACCAAATTCGCACCGACCATGCGACCCAGTCCAGTATTCGATTGGCACACATTGTGCTCGATGGCGGCAAGAGTGGTCATTTCGACCAGGAACGAAGAGTAAGCTAAGAACAATTGGTGTTAGCAACCAAAAACAGTTATTAGAAATAAAAGTAAAACGTACCACCAATCCCTGCGGTGACAAATCCAAGAACGCGTTCATCTTCCCGACCACCTATCTCCTGGTTCACCAAGACGCTCGGATCGGCTACACTAATGGCATACCACCGCGCCAGTATAGCTAGAGATACCCAGCTGCGCCTCACTAGATTTGCATCTGAGTCCACGTCGGCGTCTGAGGACCGTTTAGCCTTCAATTGATCAAGACTCTTTGCCATATCAGAACCGAGTTTGGTGGCGGACTGAATCAAAGAATGTTTAGGCACCCCATCTTTGAGGACAATGTTCTCGGGACCACGCGAGTCACAGTCCAGGATCATGAGCAGCGTAGTCTGAAGCCATACCAAGTTGACGGCAGTTGGACGAACCAGGGCCGGCTGCCGAGTGTAATATAAGAGAAGATCCTGCGCATTATCAAACGAGGTCACTCTCTCGAAGGTGCTTAGCACGCGGTCCAAGTCCGTGCGCGTCACAGTGTACAAAGCATACAAAAACACCTCCTGGACCTCGCGGCTGCATTGATGAAGAATCTCTAGCAGCCGGTCTTTCGAATGCGGCAGGATGGGGAAGATGGTGTGAATCTTGGCATAGTAACTGCCTATAGTCAGCTATCATACTGCAAAAGGATAGGACGCTATGAAGAAACATACGCATTGAGAGCACCTCCATCGACGTCCAAAGGCGTCATGTCCTCTTCGATACCGTGTTTAGACACATCCGGGATGTCAAGGCCATGTGGAATCTCATGCTCGTTTGTCGACCAGAACAGATTTCCAGGTTTGGGTGCGGTATTTCCCATAACCGAAGAGTTCATTGGATCTGTCGAGGTCTCGCCAGCATCTATCAAAGTCAGTCAAGTAACATCACCTTGTACAGGTAAGGCAGACAAACCGAATGCGTTCTGCGAACCTCTGGGGTTGAACTGAGGCTGAGAATAAGATGTATTGGGTAGTCCAGCCGGCAGTCCTTCAAAAACAGAATACGTCCTCTTACGACCGATAGGGCCGGCATCCATCGGTGGGGAGAATTCCTGGTAGGGTCGGGGGGGCGACACCTCATTCATGGCCTGGTACGGCATGTCCGGGTGCACCATAGCAGGCTGCATCTGACTTTCGAGAGTGTGTAGACGCTCCGCAAGTTCCTTGATATAACTGATAACCCATGTCAGCAACTTCGTTCCATCATGACGAGTAGCAAATGGCGCTGCGCTTCTCACCCTTTGCTAGGACCACGTTTCATGGGCACACGACTGAATTGGCACGCGACGCCGAGTCGACGACAGTTCGAGCAGGTCTCGACCCCGGATTCAGAGCTTGCATCGCAGCGGACCTAGTGAAACATCATGTAAGCCCTCCGAACGATGGTGAGGCGTCGCGCAAAAACAAAACGCGAAAGCCAAAAAAAGAAGAATGGGGTATAGGATTCCTACCTTCTTGCGCCTACACTCATCGCAGGCCCGAGAAATCTTCGACCTCTTCCTTCTAGCGCTCTGGTCTCCATAGCTCAGATCATGATTCGGATCGACGCCCACCTGCTGACTGGGAGTGAACTGCAGCATATGTTGTTGGTGTTGGTCCGGCGACGAGGGGCGTCCCATATCAGCGGCACCGGGGTTGGACGAGCCCATAACCATCGATTGACCGTGATGCACGCCGTTGCTCGAACCGTCGTTCAGGCCTGGTCCGGAAGTCTCGCGCGAGAGCTCGGCGGACAACAGTTCGTCGGCGGTCAACTGGCGATTTCCATAGTACGGCATGGAGCCCTGAGCCATTTGCGCCGCGTTGGGAGACGGGTAGGATGTAGCCGGAGGCATATCAGAATGCTCGCGGGAGTTCATTGCGTCTCTAAAGTAGATAATCACGCCTAGAAGGTGGGTGTTGATGGTGGAGCGAGGCTCCGGAGTGATGACGGAAGGAGGTAGTTGGAGGACGGAAGGACGCGAGTGACAGCAGGCAAGGTTTTACAGGCTAAAATTGCCTGGGCGGAGAGGCATGTTGAAGGGGCTAGCGCCGTGTGTCGTCGGCGCTGTGAGCATGACGCAGCAAGCATGATCGCGCGACAAAATTGAGAGAGTCAGGAACAATTCGAGCTTGCGATCGCATGTGGGATTGATGATATAGTTTCACACCTTCGGGATGATCGCGCCAACGCGGGGGTCCGGCTTTTTGTTTCTGCGTCCAGCGAGCGGATTAATACTATTTCCCACCGGCCCAGACTCTACTAAATCAACATCTCGAGGGGACCGAGACGAGTTGAAGATGATTTTACGATTGGGAGATGGCATCTTTGTGGGAAAGAGGTGGCTCCCAAGCCTTAGGAATCCCTCCAGCGCTGGTCAATACTAATCGCGTCCATCCCGCTATATGAGGCGATTGTCGTGCAAACTCAACGCTCGCCCCTGTGCAGATGATCGAGTTACCACAACACAGCACAATATGAAATTAGATGCTCGCAGCTTATTCTGTTGCCTTCTTCTTCTTACATTTGAAACATATGATGTTATGGTTTCTCTGTGCTGAGAGAAATAGCTGTCTCAGGTTATTCTCTTCGCTTGACACCAACGTTGGGGTTGGCCACTTATGTCTTTCCGATGGAGTTGACCCTCCAAGGCTTCTTTCCACGCCTCTGACCCATGAAGATCGAGGTACGACGTGGTTTGACTCTATGAGCTGAATATAGAGGACCTCAACCAGAAGACTCCAGAGTAATTCGTGCCAGCGAACAGCGCCTTAGGGGCATGGTGCAAATCGCTCAAGCCTTGCTCAGCATATAGCCACGACCTACTAAACAGCATGGAAATCCATGCCAGAAGCTTCACTGACAGTGCTATGGCCTTGAATGTGCAGTTCAGGACTAGCTGATGCCTGGCTCGAGCGCGTCTATGGCGGAGCTGTCTTACCGCTCTGTGGACTCGGTAGATAAGCATAAGGGCAATAGGTAACGTTGCTGGGATGTTGCGAAATTCTTGTGAATATCTTTGTAGGCTCATTGCGGTCTGTACGGAGTAGAAAGGTGTATAGTCTGATATGAGACTTCAACAGTCATATCCATGCATCTGAGGTGTAGCTATCCATTCACCGTATGCTACAAGGTATCTTCTCATTGCCTGGGGCTTGGTAATCTTCCGTTCTGGCATCAAGGTAACTGTCTAATCCAGGGCTTTGGCGATCAAACCCAACCAATACAGTACTTATGAGCTAGTAGAGCTAGTAAGATACCGCTTCACGCTCTGCTCCACGTCTGTCCTCCACGGCGAGCTGGTTCGTCGATGGAGCGAAACCGGCGCTGAATAGGCCGCGCTTAGCGGGCCGCAAGGAAGTACTGCTATCGTTCCAAGCACATCAACGTTGACGAAGACACGCTGGCCATTTCAGAACCTAAGGAATTGAATTGAAGAAACGTTGAGATCGAAACAATACAGCTTGATCCAAACGAAGCGTAGTATCCTATCCCAGGTTTGCTGCAGTGTCCAAATTTACTGTCAGCCAAGGACGCTTGTGACGTATCAGGCTGAGTGGAAAGACATTTGTGCCTCTCGTCTACGAACGGATCAACTGGGTTACATAGTGCGATCGTTCGCTGTAGTGGATGAGATGGCCAGGCCTTCTCTGGATCATTCAAAGTTGTCAAGAGACGT